TAAAACCCTAATGGTGTTTTATACTAAACCATTTTAAGTGGTTAAGACACAACCAACAAGTAAAACCTCTCCAACTCCTAACAACATGTGACTTAGTATTTAAAGCTCATGTTGTTACTAACCATATCCTAAACCAACCTTTCTAGCCTTCATTAATTTGTATATATCATTGACATACCATCCCACATATAATTCTTTAGCAGTCTGTTTAAGTTGCTAACACAAAATAGCAAAATAAACCTTCCTCCTTCCGTGACAGCATGCCAATTAAAAGTTTATATTTCATGATGTCTCTTATCCCAGCCTAAACCAACATCCCTGGATCTTAAATAGGTTAAAAATATTTTTTTAAAACCCCCCATAACTTTCCAGAAAGTCCATTCAAGCCCCGAAAATCACAAAACATCAGAAAACACCCCGTATGGGCATTTTTACAAGGGAGCCGGCACTAAAACCCTTGGAGCCGGCTCCAAAGCTTCCAGAGCTGGCTCTTCCTCATGAAAAGCCGGCTCTCTCTTCATGGGAGCCAGCTCCCTCACTTAGGGAGCCGGCTCTCCCCCCGTGAGAGCTATCTCTGCTCTACTGCTTCGTCCGGTTGATGTCTGTGCTTCCGGCGAAGCCCGGTGTCCTATCCCAAACCTTTGTAGCATTCTTAGGGTTTTATTGAAGTTCTTATAATCCTATAAACTCCTCCCATTCCAGTACGAGTTAATTGACAAAAATCAAAACCGAAAAGAAAATAGTTTGTGCTTACTCTGTTCATCTTCTTTAATTCCGTTGAAGTTCTATCCTTTGTTCCAATTGTATTTATTTAAAGTTTATAGGATTTACTTAAGTTATAAGGGTCCTAAAGACTCCTCTAATTCCAATACGAATACTTGATATAAATTTACACCATAACTGAAACAGTTTATGCAAGAAAATCTAACTTTGCTCATTAAACATACAAATAGTTTCAGTCTAAAATAATATACATAAACATCCGTTTTAAAGGTTAATTAAATCCCTGGTGGCCATTTAGAATGCACAGAACATAAGTTTACAGGAAGGAGATAGAATGAAACTTGCCTTCGGTTTCAGTTTTGAAACCTAAACCATCGTCTCTGAGTTCCGGCAACCCCAAGACTGTTCTCCTCCTCTGAACACTATTCTCTTCCTCTGTTGCTTCTTGACTCAACCCACGAGCAACTCCCTTTTAGATTAATTCCTTGAGCCTCTCCGTTTATCTCTCACGACCCTCTCTGTTTTGCCTTTCAATCTTCCCTCTGTGTTTTTCCTCAAACCCTCTCTGTTCCTCTCTACCTCCAGTTACAGGAAAAGGGTTCTAAAACCCTTGCAGACACAAAACTTATAAATATATAGGCCTTGATGAAAACCTAATTCTAATTCCCCACTTAGTAAAAGTCGGCTTAAACTAAATCAAAACCCTAACTTATAAAACAAAACCCTAAACTACAAACAACGCATTTTATTAACTAAAACAAAGAAAACTACAATTAATGTAACTACCAAAAACAAAAATACAATTAAACAATTAATTATTTTCAATAAACACAATTAAAGAAAACAATTCATTTAAATCACCAATTAATCAAATACTTAATTTAAACAAACAATTAAACACTTAATTTGAAACACATAAACAATTACAATAAAACATACAGCTATATATTAAACATTTAAATGCACATAAAACAGATAATCAGTTAATCAATTAAATGCACATAAAAATAAATAATTAAATTTCAACTTTATCCTTTTGAGAATTAGGGGTATTACAATATATGATTGATGGTAAATATGATTTTTGCCAAAAGTGCCAAATCAACACATTTATCCCTCATTGGACAGCTTCTAGTGAGAGGTGCAAATGAGATGATTTTTTTTTCCTATAAAAGGTGGTAAAGAGAGAAAATGTCAGACCAAACTCTAATAATGGAGATGCTTAGGTGTTAAAATGAAAGCGGATTTCTTAAGACCATAAATGACATAGCTAGGTGGGTATTGGACTAGCTAGTTGGGTATCAGACCACCTAAAAATTTATCCCATCTATCATACAGAGGGTGATATGACAATCCAAAGTCTAGACTCAATATGTGTATGATAGTAAGAGAACTAATGGGGAGTTTTAAGGAAATTAATTCCTTAAGGAAACTATAAAAAAAAACATAAGGAAACTAATAATATATGGAAACTAAAAATGAATGAAATTACATAAAAACTAAATTTCCTAAAAAAACAAAGAGAAATGAATAATTTGATTACTAACGCTTTGTTTGGAAAGATATGATTTCACGGGATTTGATTTTAAAAAGGAATTTATGTTGTTTGGAAAGAAAGGAATTTTAATAGGAATTGGATTTCATCGGATTTGATAGGAAATATCGTAATTGTAACAAATCCGAGGAAAAATGGCAGAATTTCATGGGATTTGTGATGAGGTAAGTAACAACTTTTTCAAAGTAACTTAATTTTACCAAAATATCCTCCTCTTTTGACGTATCACTTTTTCTATAAAGTGAATATTCGTGTGAATCCTCTGTCATTCCATTGTCTTTCATTCTCTGTCATCAATTTTTCTCTTCTAACACGCAAGACTAGGCCAAACTGTAAGCTTTTTCTATTCTATAGATCAATTCTGATATCTTTAATAAGAAATACATATTTAAATATGTCTTTTTTTTTTTCTTTGCTATAGTATCTTCTTCTCTACCATTCCTACAGACCTACGTAGCCAAAATGGTAAGTTTTCTCTCTACACTTTAATTTTTCTCCTTTTCATAAAAACAAATATGTAGATTTATGATTTTAATATACATATAGATGTGACCTTTTCAATTGCCCTTTTTTTTTCCTGTTGTTTAGCATACTTCATTAATGTGCTATTTATTGTTGTTCTATTTGTATTTCAACTTAGATCACATTCCTTTGACCTTCAAGGACGTATAAAATCCAACCGGACCAACAGCTCAGTATTTGATTTGTTCATCTCCATACCATCCGGAGGGCTTCCTTCAACCTTCTTTGAACCCACTTTTTTCAAGTTAGTTGATGGCACCGTTCCATTTTGACTCCATCTGTAGGGTAGCACCCACAAAATAAATAATATTACTACTTGGGATGGAGATTTGCGTATTCAAAATTTTACATATATATGCCAATGATTAATGATGTTTAGAATATTTGACCAAATTGCTATATTAATTGCTACCATGTTTTAAGTAGATCCTATTTAGATTTTTATTAGGGAAAATGTGACATTGAGTGACACATCACTGAACCATTTAGCTTATTTAATGAATAAATGTCTTTAAATAAATTATAAAGAGTTAAGTGATGTTTGTTGTAATTTTATTTTGTTACTATGTTATTTAGTTTGATTAAAATTTGTAAATGGATAATATGGAAGAACCAAAACGAATGAAGCAAATGGCAGTTGGGGTAATGGTTGCTTTTGTGGCCCATCTAGTGACATTATTGACATACTATCAACAAGCAAACTATTTAAATAGATCAATTTCAGAAAATGCTGGAGAGAGAGAAGAAATCAGGAACAAATTAATGGAAAAGATAATTAATAATGAAAGAAGTCGTGACATTTTACGTATGGGGCCAAATACATTTGCTAAGTTAGTTGAGATTCTTCGAGAAACTAGACGCCTTACAGACAATGCATATAGCTGCGTTGAGGAACAGGTGGCAAAATTTCTTTATATTCTAGCTCATAATGTTAGGAACTGCACAATTAGATTCTTCTTTCATCGATCTACTGAGACTATTAGTCGTCATTTTCATAAGGTTTTGAGGGCTATACTATCATTGGAAGATAAATTTTTTATCCAACCGGATGCAACAACAATTTCTCCAGAAATAAAGAATAGTAATAGATTCTATCCGTACTTTCAGGTAATTTAAAATTTAATTTAATTAAATATAATTTTACATTATATTGGTTGAAAATTTTAAATATATTCAATATGATAGGACTGTGTTGGAGTTATTGATGGAACACACATCCGTGTGAAAGTTTCAAAACATGATGTGGCCAGATTTAGAGGAAGAAAAGATTTTCCGACACAGAATGTCTTGGCAGCATGCAGCTTTGATCTAAAATTTACTTATGTATTGCCTGGATGGGAAGGGTCTGCATCTGATTCTAAAATTTTAGATGATGCGTTAAGGAGAGAAGACAAATTAGAGGTTCCCGAAGGTAAATTAATTATTATTTTTATTTCACAACTAATATGAGTATGTAATTAATTTTTTTTTTTTTAGGCAAATATAATGTAGTTGACGCTGAATATGCATTAAAATCCAAATTTATTACTCCTTATCGAGGAACGCGTTATCACTTAAAAGAATACTCAACTCGTGGACCACAAACACCCTGAGAAATATTTAATCATAGACATGCTTCTTTACGTAATGCAATTGAAAGAATATTCGACATAGTTAAAAAGAGATTTCCAATTTTTGCTAGTGGTACTGAACCACAATATGGCTTTGAGACACAAACAGAAATTGTATTGGCTTGTTGCATATTACACAATTTTCTTATGGGAGTAGAACCAGATGATACACTTATTGCAGAAGTTGATGAAGATCTCTTGAATGAGGAAGTACAACATGCACAAGAACATGCAAATGTAGATGCATCTGAAGAAGGTAGACAAGGATCAATGAAAAGAGATCATATAGCTGCAAACATGTGGGTTAATTATTTAGCTAATAGATAATTGTTAGTTATAGTATTATTTTCATATATTAAAATAATCTTCTGATTTGTTTGGGATCAAATTTTAATTTTCTCCACCTGTTTAAATGTAATTTCTTATTTATCTTTATTTATAGTCAATAAATGGATGTAATTCTTAGTTTTTGTTTGACATTAACATATAATTGTTTAAATCTTTTAAGATAGTGATGCATTGAATGTTTTTTTATCTTTTCATTATTGTTAGCCTACACTTATTGGTGATGGTTTGTAGCAGCTTAAAAAATGGATATACAAGAAGAAGATGAAAGAACAAATACAAATGGATATTTGGTGTGGACACTTCAAATGGATTTGTATCTTCAACAATTGCATGAACAAAAACTACAAGGACAAAAGCCTGATAGGAATTTCAACCCTTCCGCTTATGATGTAGCTGTTGATGCTATCAATGCACGATTTCCTGTGAAAGTGAATAAAGATAAAGTGCAGAATCGACTAAAGACTTTAAAACGGAAAATGGATATTGCCTTAGAAGTTTTCAAACGTGGTAGTGGATTTGCTTGGAACGATATTACGAAAAAAATTGATGCAACAAATTCTGTGTGGGATGCTTTAATTAAAGTAAGTAAAAAAAATTCTTATGCATTTTTTCCCTGATTTTCTTATATTATAGTTTTAACTTGTGAAGTATTTTTATAATAACAGTCTTATCCTGATGCAAAAAAAGTGCGCAATGTGACACTTCCATGCCTTAATCTGCTTCGTGAAATATTTGAAAAAGATCGAGCTATGGGGGGAGTAGCTGAAAGTGCGAAAGAAAAAAATCGTCGTTGGACAAATGAAGAAAGGGAACGTCGTTTGGCAAATGAAGGGAAGACAATTGAGGACATTGATGACTTACTAGCTAAAACGAGATTGATCTTGAAAATTTTGAAGACGAATATACAATTCAACAATCCTCTACTGCTTACGTTCCATATGCATCTGCATCTTCATCAAAGGGTAATAAGAAAAAGACAACCAAAACAGATGAGCTTAACAACAATATCAATAATATTACAAGCACGATGAACAAAATTGCAAGTGCTCTTGATAAAGCAAATGTTGTGGCTGAGAAAGCAAATGCAGTGGCTGAGAAAGGCAGACGACGATTTTACTCGGGAGAAGAAGTGTTTTTAGAGTTACAAGCGATGAAGAGAATTGACAAAACTTTTTTATTTGCTAGTTATGATTTTCTTATTTCGGATCCGGTAGCTGCTAAAGGATTGTTTGGATGCCCAGTTCATATGCGTAAAGATTGGTTGTCATGGAAAATGACTATGAAGTCTTGAATGGATTTTTTTTAGTTTGCTTTATTTTTGTTCAATCTCTGGAGCTAATTAGGAGAGAAAAATAAAGAACTTTAGTTCATTTAGATATTTTATTTGTTTTTAGGATTGATTAATAATTCAAATAATGTTTCACCATGATGGTTTAGAATATTTGACCAAATTGACTTATTTCACTCTTTTTAAATATATATATATATATATATGGTAACAAAACACATGTAATTATACATATTATTGTTTGTATATTTATAGTAGTAATAAAAAATTTAAGAGTAAAAGAAGTATATTAAAATATTGTTTCATACTATGTGGTTTAAGTTGCCAAAATTATTTTAAATAAAATTTATGTTTTAAGTACCAATATATGTCCCGCAAACAAAGCTTAGCTTAGGCAAGTAAATTAATGCAAATATACGTATACACATCTCTCTATAAGGATAAATTGGTGAAAAATAATATTTCCATTCCAATTCCTTTTTCCATCCAAACATAGAAAGGTAATTCATTTAGTTAGAATTCCGGTTTACTCCAAACACAAGTGAAATTCTATTTTAATTCCAATCCAATTCCTTTTCCAATTTTAAATCCAAATCCCGAAGGATTTGGTTCCAAACAGAGCGTAAATATGAATAGTAAAAAGAAGTTTTCGGTTAATCACCAAGAAAACTAAAAGCTTAAGGAAACTTAAAAAACGAGGAAAGTAAAAATAAAGGAAATTGCATTTAAATTAAATTTTTTCAAAAAAATAAAATATTTACAAGAACAAGTTGGAGTGTGTTGGAAAAATAGGCTTCAAGGGGGATGGACAGTGTGTAAAAATTATTCAAGCGTGTTTATTTTGCAATGAATCTTTTTGTTTTTTTCCCTAATCGATTGTACGTCTGGGCTTCTTAGGATTGGGTTAGATCTTGTGAATGTGGGATGTATGTGTGACTATTGGGCTAGACCTACTTGGTTGGATAAGGGGCCCATAACAATAAGCTCCCATCCAACTCCACCCCTTTTCTATTAGGTTTGCCAACCGATAGACATACAATACAGTAATCGCACAGAAGAAAAGGGGCGAAGAGAAGAAGCGAAGTCGGAGACTCGGAAGGTTTATTTCGTGACTTGTAGTGGTACGACACCTTCTTCTTCTTCTTCTTCTATAAATATATGTATTGATTTTTATTGGACTTTTTACATTACTGTGGATAATTTGAAGCCTATTCTTTTGTACCGTGCTAGGGTTTTCAGAAGAATTGGTTATCAAAGTTTGTTACGTCTTCATTTGTCTAATTTTGTTTCATTTATGCATCTCTTGCAAAGAGAAGACATACATACAATGCAGTAGGAATGATTTCATTTGTATAAATAAAATGTTGTTTTTTCTTTTTGTTCAGATGTCGAGTATCGTCAAGATGTATGTAAAGTTATCTAAATTGCCGTTGGCTGCTAGAATGAGTAATTCTCTTTCCACCATACCATACCTTCCCTGTTTTATTTAATTTTGTTTCAATTTTCACTAATAATGTTTTAATACTTTTGTTTTTCTACCTCAGTTATCATTCCGACGGCTTTTTTTACTACTGCTTTTGTCGGCATTCTGGCGTATGTTTTCACTCTCTTCTTCGGATTTCAATTGACTACTATAATGATATACAATAAATTTGGATTTCTTTTGGTTTCTACTATTATCATCTATAGGTGCATGTTAAGTAATCAATGATATTGTTGCAACATTGATTTATAGCATTTTCCTGACCTATTGAAAGATGTTTAGGAATTTTTGGTTTCCACCTGAAGTTTTGTTGGTGCATTGTTGACTGCTTGTATTAATACTTGTACTGATATAAAGTTCATAGTTTATATATGGCTGTGTCTAAGAGTTCTGTTGGAACTTGGAACAATTGTAGTAGTTGGTATAATGTGTCTTACATCTTAATTTCTTTTGATTACAGGGAAGCTCATTCTGCGAATTGGCTCGTAGAAAGGTTTGTCTTCTTCCCTTGAAACTTGAATAATTTTTCCCCTTTCTTTATTGGTCTCACCTTTTGTCAAGTTGATAGCCGTAGATGAAACAACTACTTAATTTAATATTCATGCTCCTGACTAGTGCGCTCGTATGTGGGATCTGAGTATCATTATAAATTTTTGAATCTATTTTATGCTTTACCATTAGACTTTCCACTGTGATTTACATATTCCAAGGTGGCAGCCACCATGTGATGTCACTTTGTATCACATCACCTGGCCTTAGCACAAGGATCGAAGTGTCAACTCATGCACTTCTCCAAAATTACAATTCTACTTTCCTACTCAACATATTGGACATATATTCATGAGATATATGGTCCACTTAAACTTGGACGTGTGCTCTTCATTATGTTTTATATATTAAATGCCATGGCTCTATATGTTCTATTTTGGTGCTCTGTGATGCATTAATCCAATGTAGTGTTTGGGTGTCTAGGCTTTGGTTGCGCTAGTAGGTTTCTTTGAAGGATCTTCCATTGCACTACAGTACATAAAAGCTTGTGTCATCATGCATGCTCATTCACGCATCTTTGTGCTTGTTCGGTTTGTTGCATTGTGAGGGAGCTTGTCGAATTTTTCCCATACCCTAATCTTGTTTTTGGGTCTTCCCTTCACTTAAACATCTAGGGTTTTGTTGTTTAGTGAGACTCGGGATACCTTGAGGTCTCCCTTTTGTGGTCCTCTTAAACTTTGATGCGTGCTCTTCATAATGTGTTATACACCCCAATACTATGGCTTGCATTGCATTTTTTTTTTTTTTTTTTTTAATGTTTGTTGCATTAATTCAATTTAAGGTTTGGTTTTACGGTCTCTGGTATGCAAGTAGGTTTCTTTGAAGGATCTTCACCATCCCCACACTTATGCTTTAATTGTTGGAAAGATGGATCAAAATTTAACTTCACAATGCCGAAAGCTGGAGCAGTTCCACACCAACAACAATAGGTTAATCAATGGTGGGAAGATTAGCCATCTGATCTTGCCTCCAAATCTATTTAAACTCGAAAAAATCAGCCATCTGATCTTGCTTCTTCCACCCTTCAAGTTTCCTTTCAAGATTATCAACTACTAGATCCTTATAGCAATATTCTTCGATGAATTGTCAAAGGTAAGACCCCAACCTAACATCCCAGATTGTTAGCCATTGTGTCACCCTCCCCCACATCTCTAGGGTTGTAATCGAGCCGAGCTGAGCCGAGTATTGGAGTGTTCGGGCTCGGCTTAGCAAAACAATAGATATGCTTGAGTCCGGATCAAGCTTGATCTAGCCTAGCCTAACCTAACCTGACCGGGCTCGGCTCGAGTGTAATTCAGTGGGTTCGAGCCCAGTTCGATAACATGGGTACTTGCTAGTCGTCGGTTCTGGTGCCTCTCATTCAACGTAAATTTCAAAATTAGAGAGATAGGAGCTGGTGCGAGAGAATGGAGAGAGCTGAGAGTAGGTGAGAAAGAAATGAGGGATAAGACTTGCCCATGTAGTTCCAGACAGTTGCAATTCATAGCTTTGAAATCGTCAGCTTATTTTACCATAAAATGATGCTAGTGCGTCTTGCTTGTCGGTCCTTGGTTTGGGGCTAGGGTTTCTCATCTTAGTTTGCGACTAGGTTAGTTTGAGAATGGGATGATGGTAGATGTATATAAATATAGAAGATGGGGTCATGCATTTAATTGGGTTTTGTCTTTTGTAAAAAGAACTAAATTATTTGTGCTGGGTTGGACTCATAAGAGTTTAATATATATATTTTCACAATATGCGGGCTGAATATAGGAACCAAATTATTTGGGTTAGGCTTGATATAAGTGTATGAGATTAATATATATGTATCTATATATATAATAATGTGTGCGCTGTGTATATATTTTCAATGTATATGTAATACAATTTTACGAGCCTAAAGCAAGCCCTTAAAGGGGCTTTGTTCATGAACGCGTTCACAGACAAATGAGCCAAGCAGGGAGGTGATTGAGTTTGGCTCGTTTATTAATCGAGCTTGAAAATTATGTTTGAGCTCCATTTATTAAACAAACGAACACGAATCGAGCTCTTAGCAATCCAAGCTAGAGCTGTTTTTTGAAACCTTGGTTCATTGAACAACCACTTCAAGCTAGACACGACTTGAAAAAAACTAGAACACACCGTCAATATTTCACCTGAGGCTCATCTGCCTTGTAGAAAACAACTGTATCATCCGCGAAAAGATGGGAAATCTCCATTTTACTCGAGGGAATCCTACCCACCCTAAATCCCCTAATATATTTGAAATCCACTCTTAGCCTCATTAGTCTGCCAAAAGTCCTCATCATAGTTATAAATAATAAGGGAGACATTGGATCTCCTTGCCTCAAATCCCTTGAGTTGCCAAAAAATACGGAAGGTACCCCGTTGAGCAGGACAGAATATCTTAAGAAAGAGATGCAAAAATGGATCCACCTACTCCATCTCTAATGAAAAGCAATGCTTATAGTGGGACGTCCTAATTCACATGGTCTTTAGTTGACTTGATGTTAGACTTACACACCACACCCCACTACTGAGTTTGGAATCCACACAGTCACCGACAGACCGAATACAAGATTTGGTTCCCTTTGATGGAAGAGTTTTTTGCTTTTGAGATAACTCCATCAATCACTTCATTCTATCTTAGCACTAGAACTTCAACTATTAATTTGTATGTACCCCTCACCAAGCTTATTGGGTTCCTAATTGATAACGAACCGTAGGAATGTGAAAGTGGCATTTAGGAACTAAATGAAACTACTATGCATACAAAATATTTGCATCCTTTACCTCTTGACTGACCAACTTCTCAATTCTGTTAGAAGGAAGCCATAAAGACACCAAACGGTCCTGAAGCCTTATCCCCGCCACAACTCGTCAATTTGAGGAAGAGAGGCAATACTATCGTTAATTGGTGTTATCTATGTAAACGAGATGGTGAGTCTATGGGACAATTGTTGGAACCTCCTCTTCGGCTTATTTGGCATGT